AAGAAACTTGTATTGTTTGAAATAACAATACTTGCAAGTTGGCTTTCAAGCATTTTGCAGAAATAAATATTTTATCTCTTTATACATGAGGATGCTGAAGTGCAAAGACAAAAAGCATAGAAGGAAAGATATTCTGGCTTCTAGCTCAGATTGGTTGAGCAAGCTTTTCTCCATTTCCCCTCTTCTATCTCAGAAAGCAACAGAGGAAACTGAACTTGCAAATATTAGTTGGATATTTGTCTTCAAATGGAAAACTGCTTGGTTGGTACCCAACGTGCATTGTTGGAGTATGGATTATGGATGCTGTTTTAGAGAACAAAATTGCTCAACTGTGATTTCACACCCTTGTGACAAAAGAAGAGCTTCCTTCTTGCTTGAAGGGAAAGCTGCAGTCTCTCCTGGAACTCAATGCATGGAGTTTTCTAGTTTCTATGAAGGCAGGATTGCGACATATTTAACATCTCAGATTATGGGTCAAGGAGCTGGATAAAGAAGGCACCCTCTGCTGGCACCCAGACAACTCTGGTATGACTTCAGGAGGGTATCTATCAGAATTTAAATGGATGTTGGATGGAGTTGTATAGATCTTATAAGGCCTTGACACAGCCGTGCTCATTTCCAGAGACAAATTGCTGACTAACATCTTTAGCCACTTTGGATAACAAAATGTAGCTAATAATTGTGACTACACAGAAAGCACAGTCTTTCATACAAGATTTTCTGTATGTTCTTTGCAGTTCTAATCCTGTAAATGAGCAGTCAGTTATCAGCTCACACACACACAGGGTGAGGTGAAGCCTGTGAGCAGGAGTCCCACTGATGCTGTAATTGCATGGCTTGGCTTGAAGAGAGTCATTCAGTAGAGTAGGCTGGGTGCTGTAGAAAATAAAGCCACTTTCTAACCTAGCAAGACTTGGCACTGTTGCTGCTTCTGTTACATGCTGCACTTTCCAGATTTAAGTGAGAAATGTAAATTTTTGTTTAATTGGACTGGTGTTGGAGGACAGAGTAGATCTTGTTTGCGGTTCGTTGCTGCCAGTCTGAGGTGCTCTAGCTTCATCCTTGGAGGAGGAAATACACCCAACATCAGCAAATGCATTTTGGAGGCATCTGAGCTTGACAGGAATGTGCAGCACTCAGTTGGCATCACAGAGATCACAGAATAGCCCTCCCTGAGCTGTGTGTGAGCATAGTGACGCCTCACTGTAATACTGCATGGAGACTATGGTTTCTCCAGCAAGTACTTTGGATCTGGTGAGGAAGAACTAACCTCCCTTCCTCGAGGCTAAAATAAGAACAGGCTTTTTCAACAAGTATTTGCAGGCTTGGCCACAGCCCAACAACCAATGCTTTTCTCTCTTATCTGACAGGACAGTACGCTTCAGTTCTAGTTATTCCCAATGAAACCAAGAAAATGAGAGGTTATCGGAGCACAAAGTAACACTCCCTGACACTTGACATTTCTTTGTTGTGCTTCCCTTGCTCCTGCCCTTCATCATTGTGAACACCATGCTAGTTTAGCAGCCCTGTCAGTGCAGAGCATCTGCTCTGGCTCACAGCAAGGGAACTGCTTGCAGCCTGGCTTTACTTTAGGGCGCCTGGCATGCTGGAGTAGGTTGCCTGTGTTGGGCTGATTTGATTTGTTCCTAACGAGCAGGTGAATGATTATGTTTCTTCTGTTGCACAATAATTCTGCTGTGAAGGCAGGCTGCCCTGCCTGTTGTCTCACAGCAGCCGCATCTTAACAAGGTTGTTGGAGGAGCCTTGCTCCTTCATCGCTGCCTACAGCAGCAGTGTGCTGCTCTCTTCACCCCCTTCATTGCTCCTCCTGCTGGCTGGCTCTTCTAGTGCTAAACAGCGCTGAGAGAAAACAACAATCGTCTGCATTTGTTTGCCCTGTTGTTTGCAGGTGAATCCCGGTGCCCTGCGCATGTAGAAGGTTGGTTGTTTTTTTACCTTCCCCTTGAAGCATAGCAGCCTGCCTCCTGGAGTGTAACTGCTGTTTAACAGAGCACTGGAGATCAGGGAAACATGGGAAGACTTTGGAGAAGCCTCTGTGCAAGGACCCTCCTTTGGAACCAGGGCAAAAACTGAGGCTGATTTCCAAGCTTCCAGAAGAGTACTACGACAGCCAGATGCTGCTGTGTGGAGCAGATATCTTCCTCACAGCCAGAGTCATGTTTTAGGTTTCTCCTCACAGACGGTCAGAGTGCCAGCTCATCTAAACAAGCTCTCTTTTGTACTTAAGCCGGAGATGATAAAAGACCATTTGTTAATCTGCTAGGATGTGCAGTCTGGATCCCTGCCTTAGCGGTGGGCCTCCCCTTTACGGGTAGCCTACTCACAGAAGTGCGGGCACCCCAGCAGGTGTTGGAGGCCAGAAACTGATATCTGGCACTGAAGTTGCTGTTGACTTTTCTTTCCTATCCATCCCTCAGCACTGCCCCTTGCCATGGTGCTGCATCCATTGTGCTGATAGCATGACCTGCTTCAGCTCTCTCTACTGAGATCTCAGGAGCTTTGGTGCCATCAGAACAGTTTGTGTTTGTTTGCTGTTACCTCATGCCAAAGGCGAGAAAATGTAATCAGTGTGTACTGTATAGGCACTTTCAGACATTCCCTTCACAAGGTGATAGCATAGTAGCATAGGTCCCGAGCCTGTCTCAGTGCAAATCAAGTAAATCCCATTTCCCAGCTGAGGAAGATTAAATATTTTCTGCATCCTTGGCTGCCGTGCTACTTCTGTGACCTACAGAAGCAACTGGACTGTCTCAGCCCCAGGCCCTCCCACAGTGGAGCTCAGGGGATATCCTTCTGAGGACCACTTTGTCCTCTTTCAGATTCTTTCTTCTGTAACTGTTCCATGCATGGGTGCTGTTCTCCCATTCCCCTCTCTTCCTCTCATGATATGGATCATTTTGAGTACAACCAGAGCTGTTGTGCCATAGGTTTTTTGTTTGTTTTGTTTTTTTAATCCTTCTTTTGTCTTTAGTATTTCCCCTTCTCCTCCTCCCCACCCCCTTTTTTTTTTTTTTTCCTCCTGTCACCACCAGCTGGCTTTGATTATAATGTGAGACCCCACCATCTTCAATTAAGGAGCAGATGTAGCCCAAGAAATGGGATAGCAGCTAGGGATAGAGATGACACATTCATGCCACTAGGTCTAATCAAACAACTTCTCACATAATTCTCACTGTGAGGTGGGAGACGTGTATGCCAAAGGCAAGTCAGTGCTTGGAGCACCTGCTGAGACACATTGCTAGCAAAACCATCTGTAATGAGCTGACCACACCACTCAGCACAGCAACGTGAGTTCAGTCAAGGGTTGCTTTTAATCCACTTAAGCACAGTAAAGGGCCCAGAGGCTGAGAGCTGAGAACAGGTATCTAGAAAACAATCAGCCACTGTTGACTAGGGCTGCCAGGTAGAGGGGGTCTTTCTATGCTCCGTACTCACAAATTTGACAGTGTTTGTAGGAGGGAGGACACTGCATAGCAGAGCTATGGGGTGGCTGCGGTAAGGATGGAGAAATCACTTTTATTACTAAGCTGCAGGAGAGTCTTGTTGGGGTCAGGCTAGGGGAGGGGATGGGCTGCTGCACTGCAGCATTCCAGGCACGTCTATTTCTGGGCTGAAAGACCTGCATGCAGCTGTGTCTGTGGCACAGTGGGTGCTGTGTGCTGCAAGTCTGGGGACCTGGCTGTGCTCGGCAGCTCTTTGGATGCTTAGAAGAGTCAGGTGTTTTTGTAGACCTATACTGTAAGGAAGTTGTCAGTAGAAGAGCAGATACTTTGAATCCAGAGGTAATTTGTGACAGTGGTGGAGCTGCTATAAGCCTGCTCTCCCTCTTTTCCATTTGGGCTAACAGCTGTTTTGTTTTCAGGAAGCCTTCCTCATTTTAGAGAGAGAGAGCTTCTGGTTATTCCCTTGCGCTAGTGTTTTAATTAAGAGTTTATTGCAAGTGAAACGTGTCCATCAGGTATCTGCTGAGATTGAAGTATTCTGCTATTGCGTTAAATAAGGGGTTGACCCAAGAAACACTAATTCAGACTTTCTCCTTACTTTACCTCAACCATGTCCAAACTATGAGATTCCTATAAATTTTTGTAAGTGCCAAAGAACAAGACTTAACCTCCTTTGCTAAGGAGGTGTCCACATATCATTCTAGTGCTACTGGCAGAGAAGCTGACATGGAGAGAAATGATTCACATTGCAATGTCATGGCATTGTTGGCAGAGATGAGAATAGGACCCAGGGTCCCTGTAGCTAGTCTCTGATTTATCGTATTGATGTATTTGATGTATTTGGGAGAGGCACTGACATCCCAGGGTGGTGGAGTCATCGTCCCTGGAAGTGTTCAAGAAATGTGGAGATGCAGCACTGAGGGACATAGTTTACAGGGCATAGCGGTGGTAGGTGGATGGTTAGACTAGATGATTCCAGTGGCCTTTTCAAACCTTAATGATTCTGTGATTTTATGATCCCTTGAGTTCTGTGCTGTATGAGGACAGGCAATGTGTATCTCTCCATTTGAACATGGTGTCTCTGATAGGCCTGTTAGTTGAGCGTGAGTGTAATTGCTTGGGAGCATACCTGCATGCTCAAGGAGTGCAACTAATGCTGGATGTGAGGAATAAGGACTATGGTTGTTTTGACTAGGATCCCAGTGTTGAAGCTAAGCTGTAGTGAGTGTTGCACTTCTCACGTGGTAGGTCGTTGCTTGGTAGCTCCCCAGGTAGTATCTCATTGTAGGATGAGTGCTTGCTAAAAGCCACCCCTACCTAGTAAATGGTAAGGAGGGAGTAGGTGGGTCCAGCCCAGTCAGAAGGTAATGCTTGATGGTTATTCCTGTTTTTTGTTTGGCAAAGTCTGTCTCCTGCTAGATAATAAATATCTTCTCAGAAGCAATAGATCTCTTCAGAGACAGCACCGTGGTGCCAGTGCTGAGCATTGTCAGCTCTTCCTGATGACGTCGCTGTCTGTCTCTGTTTGGTCCCCAGTTCCACCGGTGGTGGAGCCAGCCTTCCAGGATGTGCGGCAGGGCATGGGGCGCAGCGTCACCCTGCGCTGCACCATGCTGAAGGGCAGCCCCATGAAGGTGGCCACCTCTGTCTGGCGCTTCAATGGCACCCTGCTGGCGCAGCCCCCTGCAGAGCAGCAGGACTACTCGGAGCTAAAAGTGGACAGCGTGAGCCGGGAGACCAGCGGCAGCTACGAGTGCAGCATCTCCAATGATGTGGGGGTCTCCGCCTGCCTCTTCCAGGTGTCTGGTGAGTCACAGAGCACACAGTGGAGTGAGCTTTAGATGGCATCGTGGAAGTGGGTTCAAATGGGATGGCCTTCTGTAAGCTAGCAGGGCATCTGTGTCCATCATCTAGGCAGACCTTTAAGGCCGTATGGAGCAGGGGCAGCTAGTGCAGCCTCTGCTGTATTTTAGCAATATTTAGATGCTTGCCTGAAAGATGTGGGACTAAAACTCAAGACTGTCATAAACTTTCCGGCTTGGGCAAGCTATTTGTAGGTAAGTACTAACCAAGAGGATAGAAAAGCTCTATGTACCCCAGCAGTCTCCAAAAACATCCATTTTTCCCTTTCAAACAATTCAACCAACCACACCATGTATTCCTATGCCTTCCCTACGTCTCTAGGCAGACTTCGTATTACAATGCCTGAAAAGATAAACAAAGTTTGTGTTGGATACTAGTACTAGTAGATTTGCTGCTCAGTTTTCTTTTTCCAGCATGCAGTGGCACTGGCTCCTAGCACCTGCAACTGCAGAGAAGAGCAGCAGAGTTGTAGCAACTAAAACCACACATCTGCTCTAGCCTCTCTGGCTGATCATTAAATCTATTTTTCCCATGACCCCAGAATCGACTTGGGCACCAGATTCTAAACAAGCTCTTAAATGAGGTTCCCTTAATAAACTAAAAAATCAGTTAAAATATTTTTTTTTCAGCCTAGGGCCATTTCATAATACATGTCAAGAAGGGGCTGGAAAAAAAAAAAAAAAAAAAAGAAAGAAAGGAAGGGGGGGAAAAAAAAAAGAGAGAGAATAATTTGCAAAGAGGCCAGATTTTGAAGGAAGTCTTTCCCAGAGTATGGAAAAAAACTCAGCTATGTTATAGTTCCAAGATGCTCTCAGGAATGAGGAAATGCAAATCATTTCCACACTTTGGGCCCTTCTTCAGGATTTTGCTCTCACCCTTTGGGATCTCCTGGACTTTGTCTGGTAGTTGATTTGGCTTTTAGAGCTTTTTCTCTCTCTGCTATTTCTTCAAATGATTTTAAGTTTCATCTCTCTAACTAAATGGTGGCAAACTATATCCCACAATGAGCTTTCCACCATGGCAAGCTTTGTTCTTAGCAAATTTGGGAATACTTCCAGGATCTAAATATTGCTGGAAAAATAAGTAGTACATAATGCCATTGTGTGTGCCAGGTCATGCCCCATGTGACAAGATTCCCTTAACAGAAAGCAGTGGTCATCTCTACAGAGCCCTTGCCTGGAATGCTGCAAGCATTTGTTTTTCTGCATTTCTCTCCTCCTTCCCTGGCATTGATAGCCGATGCTGGCTTTTCAGCTCCAGACATCTCTGCCTGGGCAGCTGCAAATCAATTGGACCTTCTGAACCTGTAAAGTAACCAGAAAAATCGGTGGCTAGGCTACGGTACTTGGGCTGAGGACTGCTGGCGTTTTAATTCACATCTGCTACAACCTTCCTTTGTAAGCAGGAGGAACAGCATTGTTTCTTTTTGTTTCTGTTTCTTGCTTGGAAAGATGGACCATAAACCTTCCTAGCTGATGGGCAGGCGGTGACTCACTTGTGACCATGAGGTGTTCAGATGTACTGGAAGCAGAATACAAAACCATGCCCAGGATGGAAAGATCTGTGTTGATTAGTTCCTTCTGTGCATGGGAGATTAGCTTTTCTGTGATATTGTGGAAGGTTGGAAAAACATCCAATCCACATCCAGACCCTCCCCATACCACTCATCACCTGCTCCCCACCATCTACCAGCACAAAAAAGCTCTGAAAGACTGAATGAATAACCTTTAGCTCTTTCTGTCAGCTGGAGGAGAAAGGCAAACTTTCTGTCAATGGTAAAAGTTGCCAGAAAGGAAGTTCCAAAAGTATCTTGATGTGCTTCCTTTCTATTAAAAGGATTTTTTTTTTAGCTTCTATTTCTATTTTAGAGTCAATTAATTAGGAATTAATATCATGCAAGATTATGATTATAATCAGTTCTGATTTTATTTCTGAATCCATTATGAAGCCTGACTTCCACAGTCAATACAAGTTGAATAAGCAGCAATTAGTCTCTGAGGTGGTTCTGAATTTCTTGCTTGTGCAAAAATTCAAGTCAATAAAAATAATAAGGAAAAAAAGACTTGGAAATACACATCAATATTATCCATCTGAGTTCATAAAAAATAAAATGCTGAATCCTTTTGAGCCTAATTATAATCATACTGAATGGCCGGGCCCAGGATTCAAGAGGCAAGGTGCAACACAGTACTTAGGAAGATAGTTGTGGCGCTTCTCTGCTCTCCTGCAGCCTTCCCTGCCTGTGTGCAGGCCTGGATTAGACCTGGACTGGAGATAAGCATGCCCAGTGCATTACTCTATCAGCCTTTGAGTTACTGGTTCAGGTCAGCAGTGGCTGGTGAAATGACAAGGAAACCCTTCTTCTCTGAACCATCCAATTTCTCCCCATCCTTGGAGGCGTTAAAGGCCAGGTTGGACTGGGCCCTGAGTACCCTGACCTTGTGGTTGGTAATCCTGTCCAAGGCAAGGAGCTTGAAGATCTTTATGGTCCCCTCCGACATAAGCCATGCTACGATTCTGTTATTCTCTGTAGTACATCTTTTCTTCTGTGTTTCTTTTCCTCCTGCTTCCTTCTAGTTTCTTAGAGATGTGGGTTTAGAAAACTCTGTCCCTGCAAAATCTCTTGCTGTTTTCACCCTGGCTGAGGTCAACATCCCCTTTGCTGCGGAGTTGACAGCCGTGCTACAAAGAGGCTGGAGCACTGTGTTTTCAAGGCAGGGGAGATGCAGAAGGAACAAGGTCTCCTTTTGAGTGCCATTGTCCCCTGTGTGATAAATAGCACTTTTCCTATGACCTACTGGCCAAATGATCTTTCCTTGGGGATTGATAGCAGGAGACTCTGTAAAGCTGCAGATGAAACAGAAGAAATGCCAGTTTAAAGTTACCTCAACCTAAGCTACAAAAAGCAAGACACAAAAGATTAGAGCTGGTTCCAGCTGGAGAATCGAAGCTGTTTCCACCTTTTCTGGTGTCAGTCGTGCCCCACTGGTGCTGCAGGTCTGTGAACCCTCCCAGTAGGTTAGGCTGTGAAAGCAGAAGCAGTCCACAGAAAAAAGATGCCATGAACTATTTAACATGTCAGTACAACAACAGCTGGAATATTGAAAGAATCTCTCATGAGAAGGCAGATGATAAGTTGGGTGAGAAGAGCTCTTTTACTCACCAGATATCTTTGTAATTTATATTCCCCCTCTATCCCACTCTTTACTTTTCTCCTTTTTGTTTTTTCCTTCAGCAAAAGCTTACAGCCCTGAGTTTTACTATGACACTCCAAACCCCACCCTGAGCCAGAAGCAATCCAAGAATTACTCTTACATCTTGCAGTGGACACAGAAGGAACCTGATGCTGTGGATCCTATCCTCAAGTATCGCCTGGAAGTCAGGCAGGTAAGGTCTGCATCCCTGGTTCATGCTTTTGAGGAGAGGACCTTGGGGGCAGTTAAATTACATCAATCTCCCTGATGATTAAGAGCTGTAGTTGGTCTTGTGCCTTCCCGGCTGAATCGGTGACATGGGCTGAGTACACAGCTCAGTGTTCATTAAGTTAGATGCTGGGTACAGTTGGGAGCTTTCAGAGCATTGCTGCTTCCCATCAGATGGCTAGTGCTCAGTATTCTGAAGGGAGGTTAATATGAACAAAAATCCACAGTCGTTAGTAGATTTTAGAGATTTCATAGGCCAAAGATTCAAGTAAGTAGGCTTCTACCCTCAACACTCACGTGAAATAAAGGGAATAAGCTGAAGAGCTCTCCAGGCAGGAACTGCAGGAAAGTCAGTGTCTGTGTTGCAAAAGGGCTTTCATACTGTCACAGTAATGAAGCTATTGGGACTACATAAACTCTGCAGGGAAAGAGAAGTGTGTTGCAAGGCTTGCTGAATGTGAAGAGAAATCACACCAGAGTATGGAAATCGGACTGAGAGGAGAACTGAGGAAAAGCTGAAGATGGCGCTGGTTGGAGAAGGACAAGGAAAAGTCTGATAATTTTTAAAGAGCACATTAACCAGTAAGGATTGCCAGATAATTTCATCCAAGCTCAGCAAAGTGCCTGCATTCAACACATTTTAAAAATGGGGATGCTTCAAATTGGTACTTCTTGCCACTCAGTGGTAGCTTGGAAGCAAATATGTTTTGTAAGGAGAAGTTTGTTTACTGCAGATAGGAAATAAAATAATCTAAACGATCCAAGTTTCTCTCTCCTGTAGTTCTGCACAGTAGGCTTCAGTTTTATGTCTCCGTTTGCTTGTGAGCTCTCTGGGGTGGGACAGCCTTTGTTTGTTCCTCATGCAGCGCAGAACGCATTGTCAGTGCTTAATAATAATACAGGACACAGGGGAGCCTCTAATAATGAAAGCAGTTTGTCACAGTACCCCTTCCCTGTTAGCCAAGTTTTGCTATTACCAGCACTGCAACTTCACAAACTAACTTGTGATTTTTATCTTTCTCCAGTGATGTTGAGTTTTTTTTTTTTTACTTTTGCACAGTGCCTAGAAGTAATCTTGGTTCTTGTCCTCGTTGTGCATCTAGCAAAAAGGTTTAAGTGAAAGAAAAGCCACATTTCTGCTTTAAGTTCTGATGTAAAGGAAGCTGAGTGCCTGGGAAAGCCTAATCTTCTGTTTTTTTCCATATCCCATTGGTTACTGCTGCTAATGTTTCTTGTGCAGCATCACTACATGGTATTGACTGGTAAGAGGTGTATTTTGGAGGAGTCATTGTACCATGACCGTGTTGTATCCCAATGTGATGTATGATCAGGCTCTTAGAAATCTCTGCAGGTCCCATTTTGGTGGCCCAGTTCTGAATAACAAATGATAGAGCGAGGAGGCAGCAGGGGAGCATTGTTCCCATTCTGTTGAGCACAAGGAGGAAAGTCTGGAAGGGATCTTACCAGTATTGCCTGGCCCTCCTCCTGCAAAGCCACTTGCGTCACATGATGAGGTCTCCATAGCTCCATGTGCTGAGGTTTCACTGAGCTCTCTGCTGTGCTGCTGTCTCTCTGGTGTTTTCCTTGTGACATCTCCATTGGGCTTACAGCACTCTTGTTAGTCCTTCTGCTCTTTCCCCTGCACCGTACCTCTCTTCCATGTCCTGCAGTCTTTGCTCCTTCGTCACGTTCTTCCCCATACTGGGGCATGTGAGCTGAGCTTTGTGTCCTGCTGATCAATTGTCAAACTGCAGAACATGGTGACGTTAATGAATATAACTGTAAAAAGCTCAAAAGCTTAAAAGCGTTGGTGTTTGAAGAGCTCTTAAGAAAGGGGATTTGTCTGACTGAATGAGGAGCCACTGGTTGCCTGGGTACCCTCCTCACAGGATGCACTGGCTTCCAGACTTTAGTTAAGGCGGAACAAAAGTCCTCCTAGAGAGCTGGTGTTGAAGTGGGATATTCTCTTCAAATTAAAAAAAAAAACCAAAAAAACAAAACAGGTCATGATTGATTTGCTGCCAGCATCAAATGGATTAGAGCTTACCCAGCCAGCCAGCCCACGTCTTCCAGCCCTGGGAGCTCCCCAGCCTCCATGGCCAAATACTCTTCAGCACTGTAAGGACAAATGTGAGCAGGACAGCATGCCACCTCTCAGTGCCTGCTGGATGGTGACGGGCTGTCTGGGAGGGTTCTTAAATTTTGTTTAGGTGGAGTCCAAAGGGCAACCAGCTGGAATGCCTGCTGGTTTTAACATGCTTTGCTGGTTTTCCTCTTGCTCTCCCCAGTTCACTTGAAGAGCTCTTAGCATATGTAATGTGAAGATCCCTAAGTAGAAGGATGCTTTTCAAAGCACCTGGGAACCCTTGAATCCAATTTACTTGCTGCAGCTGCTGAAAATGGGGCTGGGTGAGGGTAAAAGTGCTGCTTATTAATTGGCGGGTGCTATGGCTCTTCCAGCTCTCCCTCTTCAATGGCTTCCGAGGGCTGGTTGGGAAGGCTGGTTGGGCATTCCTTCGGGGATTGCAAGCAGCCTGGGGGAATTTGTTTTCCTAAGCAATGCATGGGCTCCCAGCAAGACAGGCAGGTGCATTTCCATAGAAGCTGATTGTTCCCAGCCCTGCAGCAGAGGCTGAATAGCACAGCAGACGTACCAGTTCCAGTAGAATAAGAATTAACCTTAAATTAAAACCCAATAAACAGCCTGACAGCTTGGAGCCACTGACCCAGGCAAAGCACATATACTAGCATTGTCGAGCAAATTTCTTGTAAAGCCTTTGTCTTTGCAAACAGGCTGTTACTTCCTGGAGCGTGTCAGCCAGGTGGGCTAGGCAGTGACATTGCATTGAGTACTGATTCAGTGGGGAGCTTCACAGATATCTATTTTGGAGGTTTGGGAGGTTTTCCCTTTCTTGCTCCAAGGCAACTGACCTAAATGCCAACCGCCTTACCTCACTGCAGCCAGTGATCTTAATGAGTTTGCAGCCTTAGGTCATTTGGTTCTGGGCAGATCCAGCAGGCTTTGGGGTGTTCATTTGGTCAGCTTTTTTCTTCTGTGTGCTCTCGCAGCATAGAAAGGCACTGAGACACTGTGCTCCAACTAGAAATGTTTTTCATTGCTTGGGGATTCAAAGCAGCCTCCCCGAGCCAGATCTTTGCTTAAAAAATAAAAAGCCTTTTAAGTTGCTTATTTCTCTCTGTGTATTTTATCCCCCTCCCAGTGCTCTGCTCTAACATTAAAGAGAAATGAGAAGCCATCTAATATTGCAAGCAGGTCGCATCCTGGAGGAAAGATCTGAGCTGGGCTGGTGGTTACGGTTGCAGAGGATAGTGGCAGAATTACTGTGCACGTAATGAGTTGGAACCCATCTGTGACCTGAGGCTGCAGGAGAAAGAGGAAGGAGAAGGTATTGGTGCAGAAGGGGAGTGTAATCTTTGTTGTACCCCTCAAGGAGACTCGAGGCTGCCGTTGCCTCCATGCCTTCTGGTACAGGGACTCAGGCAGAGCAGACCCAGCCCCACCTGGCAGACAGGGCCCCACAATTTGCACCAGGCCAAGCCCCGGACCCGTTTGCTAAATTAGCTCACTGAGTTGTCATTTCAGATTAATTCCTGTCAGGGAGACTGTCTTTAATGAGAGTGGCCCTGTGCAATGCCTGAGTAATTGTGCGGCCTCTCTTTGTTTGTACTTTCATCCCCTCCATGTTGGATAAACATCCCCTGCTGTCTACAAACCTCATCTGGGCTGCAGAGCCGGCTGCCACTCGCCTCATCAGCCAGCCAGAGCAGTGTTAATGAGAGCTGGGGCTGTGGGGAGCCAGCTCACCGTACGGGGAGGTGGCAGATAACAGAGCTGTTTGGACACACAGAGGACAGGGACTTTAGCAGGGATTTAATGATTGTGAGTAGAGCGGAAGGATAACTCCGCTGACTGCCATCGCAACCCAGTGGGAGAGTTTTTACACCAAGGCCCACAGTCTGTGGATCCATATCACTTCCTTTCTGCCTCTGAGTTATTCGTTTGCTCTGCTCTTGAGATGGGAGCACACAGAGCTGCACGCCTCTCTGGGACCACAGAGTGGGACAGGGCATCCTCACACTTCTTCCTCATGCACCAAGCAGGGATGGTGTGACTTAGAATGGAGAAGTGAGTTATACGCCTAGCCATATTCTCCTACATCAATCTCTAAATCAGAATAGTTAGCCCACACCACTGTCTTGCCCTGTTCATGAATTAACACAGCTTGATGAGCATGTGTGCATGGCCCTTGGCACATGTGGAACCCGACCTAATGAACCTAGATGCATCTTCCAGTGCCTGCAAGCAACGCCATGATCTTACAAACCACTAGTGTGTGCAGAAGTAGTAGGGTAGAAGAAGCTTCTAGAGCAAGGTCATCCTCCTGGACTTGTGTTAACAAGAACACAAGAATATCCATGTGGGGTGAACCAAGAGGCTGTCTCTTCCCATCTTCAGCCTTATCCAGTGTCTGGAGAAAAATATAGCATGTAGAGAATTGCTTTATCTGCATTATAAGCCCCAAGTCAGGAAAGGTTCTGAACGTGGCAAATGACACTCCTTGCAGCAGTTCAGCCCTGTGCTGTGGGAGCAGGATGAAAACCCTTATCTTCTGCTGATGCAGCCATGGCTTCAGGTGAAGCTGCTTGAGAGACAGAGCAGTCGGCACCTCGGGGGGTTGCCTGAGGGCTACAGAATAAGGAAACTCTGTGTAAGGCAGGCAGGGGTGACCGAACTCATTTTACAAACAAAAGGGCTAGCGTTTTGCCAGCTCCCAGGGATTGCGCGCTGTCTGGGCAATGCTGCCATCACCACGGTAACCACAGAAGATGGAAGATAGGCCTGTGCCCGCAGCCTGCATCCCGAGGCCTGCTGTGCCCTGTGCTCCCATGCTCTTCGTGGCCTATCCTGTGTGTCCCCCCACTAGTGCTAAGGGGGAGTTTCCA